CCGGGGGGAAAGGAAGTTATGGGGTAAACATGGGACAGGGTGTACGGCTAAGGGGATGGCGGAAAGGAGGTAAAGTGATCCAGTGGGGTGGGGGTAAGGATAAAGAGTAATGGTGGTGGGGGGGTGTTGGTGCGAGAGGTTCACCTCCAGCTCTTACCGAACCAGCGGTCAGCGCTCGGATCGTCCTGTTCCTGCAAGTTGTTGAAATCGATGTGAGTCGGTGCATCGTAACTCCAGGTGAACGCAGACTCCGCCATGGCTCCGGCTCTGTCTGTACCTCAACCTTATCTCTATCTGTATGTCTCTCTATTTCTGTGTCTACCTATCTCTCTCATAGACCCGTCCGCCTTTTTTTAAATTTCTCTATGTATATGCTATTTATATTTTCCCCCTACCTGTGTATGTCTATGTCTATGTCTGTCTCTGTCTCCCCAAACTTATCCAACTCTTTCTCCCTTTCCCGCTCTCTCTCTCTGTCTGAGAACCTCCACCGTTTAACGGTTGAATTTTGAATTGCTTTTGGCCAATCACAGCCCGCTCCACACAGGACCAGTCGCTGATTGGCCACCCGGCTGAGTGACGTTCACCAGGCCGTTACCTTGGGAACGGTACGACGTCTCCCGGTCGGGGAGCCCAGGCTACTGGCCGCTACCGCCAGGCAGGCCGACTGGTCTACCGACGAGCTGAATACCGGGCCCGGGGTCCGGCAGGCCTTCGGCTCCTCAGGCATTGTTCCACTGTGCCGCAGCCAATCAACCACCGCATCCGCATTGGACAATCGAAGTTAGCCAATCACCACCCCCCCACCAAGGGCCGCCAGGTCAATGTTTAATCTGACCAATCAGAAATGGGAATGCATGGCCCGTGCTCAGTCAATTGCAACAAGCTCCAGAGTGTGACTATCATCAGAGACCCTATCCACAATGTATAAGGCAGGAGTATGATGGAATATTCCGCACTTGCCTCGATCAATAACACTCAAGAACCTTAATACCGATTCAAGACAAGGCAGCCTGCTTCACAAACAGAAGTTGCTGGAAAAGCTCAGTAGGTCTGGCAGCATCTGTGAAGAAAAAAAGCAGTTAACGTTTCGGGTCCGGTGACCCTTCCTCAGGGACCCTTTCTTTCGGTTCACCGGATCCGAAACGTTAACTCTGATTTTTTTTCTTCAGAGATGCTGCTAGACCTGCAGAGCTTTTCCAGCAACTTCCATTTTTGTTCCGGACTTACAGCATCTGCAGTTCTTTTGGTTTTTAAAGCAGCCTGCTTTATTGGCACCAACATTCACAAATATCCACTTCCTCCAATGCTTAGCAGTGTGTACAATCTACAAGATGCACTGTAGAAATTCACCAAGATCTTTAGACAGTACCTTTTCAAACCTATAACTACTAACATCTTGAAGAGTCATCACTGTTGTTGGATCAAAATCCTGGAACCCACTCCCTAGCGGCACTGAGGGCAGACTGGAAGAATTCAAGAAGACAGCTTGGCGTTCAACTCCTAAAGACAAAGAATAAAAATTCTCTGATCATGTCACTGTTTGCCAAGTGCTAGTTCATTATAAAAGATTTACTAGCAGAGTACTTGGCAAACAGTGACAGGATCAGACAAAAGCATGCATTTTCAAAGATCAAATCATGCCTAACAAATCGACTGGAATTTTTCGAGTTGATAAGAATAAGTCAGTGAATGAGGTTTATGAGGACTTTCAGGATGCTTTTGATAAAGTCCCACAAAAGAGATTAGCATGTAAAATTGAAACATATGGGTTTGGAGGAAGCCTACGGATATGAATAGAGTACTGGCTGGCAGATAGGAGACAAAGTGTTGGAATAAACATATCTATTTCTGAATGGTCACTGACTAGTGGATTACTGCAGGGATCAATGCTTGGACCTCAGCTAGTCACAGTATACATTAATGATTTAGATGAGGGAACAAAATACTATCTCTAAATTTGCACACCTCACAAAGCTGGGTGGGAGGTGAACTGTAAGCAGGGTGTAGAGATGCTTCAGTGTGACTTGGACAAGTTGAGGGAATGGGAAAATGTATCATAGATGAAGTATAATGCGGATAAATGTGAGGTTACCCACTTGGTAGTAAAACAGGAAAGCAGTTTATTATCTGAATGGCAACAGATTGGGAAAGGGGAGGTGCAATGAAACATGGGTGTTCTTGTACACCAGTTGCTGAAAGTAAGAGTGCAGGTGCAGCAGGTGGTGAAGAGCCAAATGCATGGCTCATAAAGTACAATGCAGATAAATGTGAGAGGATTCATGTACAGGAGCCCGAAATATCTTGCTGCAATTGCGCAGCGCCTTGGTGAGACCACACCTGGAGTATGGTATGCAGTTTTCATCCCCTTATCTAGGGAAGGTTGTTTTGGCTATGAAGGGAATGCAGCAAAGATTTACCAGAATGATTCCTCCGATGGCAGCACTGATGTATGAAGAGAGCTGGATCAGCTAGGACTATCTTGACTGGAGTTTAGAAGAAGAGGGAGCATCTCATAGAAACCTACAAAATACTAACAGGACTAGACAGAATAAACTTAGGAAACATATTCCCAATGACTGGGGAGTCCAGAACCTGGGTTCAAAGTCTGTGTATATGAGAACAAAGGAACAGGAGTAGGCCATTCAGCCCACCGAGCTTGTTCCACCACTCAATGAAATTATGGCTGATCTGTGGCCTAACTCTATACCTGCCTTTGGCCCATATCCCTAAATACCTCCACTTAACAAAAAAATGATCCATCTCAGATTTAAAATTAACTACTTATCCAGCATCCACTGCCATTTGGGGAAGAGAGTTCCAAACCTAGCACCCTTTGTGTTTAGAAGTGCTTCCTAATATCTCTCCTGAATATTCTGGCCCTAATTCTCAGACAACGCCCATTAGTTTAAAAATCCCCAACCAGTGGAAATAGTTTATCTTCATCTACTCTGTGTTTTCCTGTTAATATCTTGAAGACTTCGATCAGACCATCCTTAACCTTCTGAATTCTAGAGAAGGCAGGCCTAATTTGTGCAACCTCTCATCATAACTTAACTGCTGAAA